CTGGCTTCTGGAGGTCTCCAGAGTGCGCCCGTGGCTTCCGGAGGCGCCCAAAGGCCCAAGAGCAAGCAAGCAGGCAGGCAAGCAAGAAGTCAATCACTCGGAGGTGGAGGTGCGCAGGGCACGGATGTTCGGGCGTTGAGTCGTAGGGGGGCGAAGCGTGGGAGGGGGAGGGTGAAGAGAGGTGCACCTTCTGTGCCCTAGAGGGCCTCCCGGGGCCCAAAAGGGGCACTGCATGTGCACGGTCCCCCCCCCCCATTGATCGCCCCCCACGAATGCACGCCAGAGATGGCAAGCAAGAGGTCATACACTCCGGGGTGCGCAGGGTGCTTATGTGGAAGAATCGTCAGTCTTCTCCTCTCGCCACGGGATCGGCCACCCCGAGGTGGGCCCCAGGCAGAACACCGAGGAGCTGGACAGGAGGCGGAGGAGGGGGATGCGAGGGGAAGCGGACAAGCGGAGGGTAGCTAAGATGTTCTGACGAACTCTAGTCTCGAGGGGGAGGAGGAGGAGAAGGAGGAGGAGGAGGAGGAGGAAAATGAGCAGGCGAGGGGAAGAGGAGGAGCGGATAGCAATCAAGAAGTTTCGACATATCTTCTAGCCTCGAGGACGAGGAGGGGGATCCGGAGGTGGACTTGCGGGAGCATGACTCACGGGGCACAGAGCCCCCCGTGCCCCCTCCCCATCGGAGGGAGGAGAAGCGACACCAACACCAACAGGGGGCCACCTCCAGCGAGGAGGTCCACGAGGCCTCCCCGAGCTGGAGGCTGGGGATGTCTCGAGCGAGAGGGGGGGACCACACCACCAGGGAGACCCCCCTTGCCTCCTCGCATCTCCTCGCCCTGTTGGTGTTGGTGTCGCCTTTCCTTGTCCCTACCCCAGTGCAGGCCTCCATCGAGCACGCTCCCGGCGTGGACCTGGGCGCGGTGGCGCAGCGGCTGGGCTCCTCGCTAACTTTGGCGAGGAAGGTGGCGGCGTACATCGGCGCGCTGGACGGCATGAGCGACGAACATGCCATCAATCATTCGGTAGCAAACCATGGAAGCCTTGCGTGCCCTCGTGGCTCCATCTCTCGAGTGCATGAGCGTGCGCTGGCGTCTGGTGCTCGACGAGGAGACGCCCGTTTAGCGTCGACCAGCGTCGATTTAGAGTCGACTTCGCGTCGACCTCGCGTCGACTAGCGTCGGTTGCCGTCGATCCGCAAGAGCCAGCAAGATGGCATGGGAGGCTCCCACGAGTTGCCACAGAACAGTCAACAAGGGGAGAGACAGATCCCAGCACGGCTGCTCGTCCTGGAGGGCCCTCGTCGCCACGGCTGGGTAATCCTCGAAATGCTGGCCGGAACACACCGTGTAGGTCCAGGGAGCAGCGGTGTCGGTACCTGTTCGCTCCCCCCAGCCACGCAGGATCATAAAGATGTGCAGCTTGCCAGGGGCACCCTTCCATCATCGCACCTTTGGCCGAGCCTCGGCCATTTACCGCTGGCCATTTGGGATCAAAAGGCTTCAGCTGCTTCTTGCATCCTTACCGCGCATCCCTATCATCCTGTCGGGCTGTGTCCGTGTCCATGCCATCGCGGACTGGATCCTCGTGGCCGCACCCGCGTGGATACAGGTACGCTCCCCGCCGCTGCTCGGCATGAGCGCATCGCGCGGAGCGTGTCCATAGAATGGCGTGTCCATGGGATCGCGGTTGCAGATCTTGGCCACGAGGGCATGGATATGAGTATGGCCGTCGCTCATGAGGACGGCATCCACCGTATATCGTCCGGCCCCATCAAGGTCACGAATATCTCCGTCACCCACGGGTCCGATCCCAAGGTCCCAGGGACATTATAATCTTCACCTAATTCGTGGATTGGCTTGCAGTCGTCTGAATAGGGCTGGGTGTCTTCGTGGGACTGACTACCATCTGCTTCATATCGTACTATCATGCTCTCAACTGCCCTGCGCAAGGCTGCTACCCATTCCAGCCGTGTGTCCCGCTAACCTCAGAGCTCCATAGACGGGGACTCTTGACAAACCATGACATTGGAACACCCAAGACAATTTGCGCCGATGGTCGAACCATTCTCTATCCTTTGTTCTTCTCAACCTGGAATGTGCAAAGTCGTGATTTGCAATGTCCTCGTTTCTGCAGCCCTGGTTACCCCACGGCGACCACTGGTATCTGTTTGCCCATCCATGACCACCATGCAAAGGTTATAGCCACCTCCCACGGCGCAATACTTCTATGACAAAACCAGTGTTGTCGGTTGTTAGTTCGTAATTTGTGTTGCTTCAGGTGACTTCCTATGTCGGAGGCGTCGCCGATTTGTTCGTGCGCAGAGTGTCTGTCGCAACTCATGGCGAAATCTACACTAGGTAGACTCACCAAGTGGATCGCTTTTTGGGTGCTCGAGTGGTGACTCCCGCGCCCGAAGTCGCAACCAATGGAAGACTCACCAAGGACGTCGCGGCTTGCGTGCTCGTGGAGAGCGCACCGCAACCTGCGGCGCAATCTGTGGAAGTTAGACTCATCCAGGGCACGCGGCTCGGGCGCCCGCGGGATGCCTGCCGCAGCCCACGGCGCAACCCATGGAGGGCAGACCGGCCCAGGGCATGGCGATTTGGTGACGCGCGGGGCGTCCGCCTCAGCCTATGCGTGCTCGTCGGTCGTTGGAAGTCAGTATGTTTGGACCCCCAGATTCCCATCTACTTTCAGCGCCGTCCTACTTCAGTGATCGAGTGTGGCTTCACCTTTTCCGTCCTCCTTAGGGGGCGGATGGGAATCCATCTATGTTCAAGCCTACGGGAGACACGGTCAGGCACTCTTGCTTAGGGTGCCGCGCCGCGGGCGCTGCGGCGCGCCACGCGAGCCACGCCCCCGCCCCGAGGCGTCAACGTCCCGAGCTCTTCCCGGCTACCCGTCACGCTGTCAGCCTGCGGGGCATGGCGTGTCGCCCAGACCGCCGCTGCGCCACGCCAAGCAACAGTTCCTGACCGTAGACCCTCCCGTCGATTCGGTGGTACGCGGGGTGGCTGCCGCAGCCCATGGCGCAGCCCAAGAAGCCAACCTCACTTGAGGAGTGGCGGATTCGGATACTTGGCTGGGTGTCTAGCGCAGCCTGCTGGCGAGTGCCGTCTCTTGTGGGTCGGTTGGCGGGCTGAAGTCCGACGCAGTGTTTCTTACAGCGAGGGCCCCTGGACGTTTTTTTGTTGTGTTTGTTTTTTTGTTTTGTAACGACGTGGGTCCCTGGACGTTTTTTTTTGATATTTTTGTAACGACGTGGGTCCCTGGAGGTCTGGACCGCTTCCCCGGGGCCGGCATTCTGTCCTGGGCGGTCGCCAGGCAGCCCCCGAGCCTGGTGCGGACCCGCTGGTATCGACAACGGCCCAAAACCTCGAGCAACCCCCTTTGGGCGATGCTCTCTCCATGTTTGGTTTTTCCCCGACGCCTCCGGCTTCTGCCGGAAGCGTCGAGACCCTGGTCTAGGCCAGGGTGTGTGTGTGTGTGTGTGTGTGTTTGCTTCCAGGGCCTCCGGCAGCGCCGGAGGCCCTGGAAGCACACACACACAAGCCCGCCGTGAATTGCTCTGACGCCGAGAGGGGGCGGGGGGAAGGTGTCAGATCCTGACGCTGGCATGGCCGACTCGTTCTACAAGGAGTCGGGGAACGAGCAACCGCGCAGCCGTGAACCCCTGCAGGTCCGCGCGGGTTCCGTGGGTCTGCGCGGGACCTCCCCCGGAGGCGCCTCTGGCGCCGCCCCTCGTGCGCTCCGCGCGCCAGGGAGGGGGAGGCCCAGCGCCGACCCGAGAGGTCCGCGCGGAGCTCCAGCAGGTTCTGTTGGTAGCCGCCTGCTCCTCCGAAGGATACCATGGGCGACTCCTTCTACAAGGAGGGCGGGAAGGCGCTGACCGACAGGTCGCAGGCGCAGTGGGAGCCGCTGGCGTCCAAGTTCTTCAACAGGCTCGACCGCCTCGGGACGGGCGGCGTGGAGAACTTCCAGGCCTTTGCGGCCGTCGGCCCCCGCAGCGGGAGGAGGAGGAGGAGGAAGGTGAGGAGGGCAGAAGGGGGTGATGAGGAGAGAGAAGGAGAGACGATGGGGAGGAGAAGGACGAGGAGCGGGGGGTTGGGGAAGGAGAGGTGGGAGGAGTGAGAAAGAGCTGGAGCGGGGGAGGGGGGAGGAGGAGCGGGAGTTCGAGCGGGGAGGGAGGAGGAGAGAGGAAGGGATTGGAATGAGCACTCCAGGCAATAGAGACAACACAAGCCGGCATGGAAGAGCAACGGGAGGGAGGAGCGGTCGCGCAGAGGGCGGGAGGGAAGGGGCGGGGGCACTCGCGGTCGCAGAGGGGTCGCAGAGGGCACCGGGAGGAGCGGGTCGCAGAGGGGCGGTCACTCTCTGTGTTCGTCCGAGCCCGCTTTCAGGCCGCCCAGAGTCACGTCGTGTACATCTTGCAATCTGCGGTCAGCCTGTTCATGCGGGGGAGCACGGGCAGCGAAGCGCCACTGCCGCGTTCTCAGCCGCGGGGCCGGTCTGCGGAAGTCTCTTCCTGCACGGTGCGATGCCCACAGCTCACCGTTCGCATCCAGGGCAGCCAGTCCACACCCCGCGCAGAGCATCACCCGATGGCCATCTTTGAACGCACTCCCATCTGAAATCGCATCTCCCTGTGAATGCCCTGAACGAGTAACCGTCCAACTCGTCCCCAGGCCAACTCATCAAACAACGTATACCATCGCCAACACTTGCTCATCCAACTCATCCTTGAGATGATTGGTTGCGGGGCAGTGAATGATCATGTGGCGCATTCCATATACAATGAAATGCGGATGTCGTGCCGGTAGCACAATTTGCGCGAAACAGCATGGTCTTCGTCCATCAGTGCTGGATGAGAGCCGCTTGGCTACCAGAGCTTCAGAGAGATTTGGGATCACAGTGGTTCCTAGCAGTAGAGACATGTTCAAGCCAGTGCCTCCTCGTAGCTACAATCTCTCAGCAGCCCTGCGAAGCAGCATCAATATCCATTGCGATCGTAAATCATTATGCGTATTATGCGGGGGGCATGGAGCTTAGGATCATTATGTTCCCCGTTTGAATGGATCAGGTCGACCGGGATGCCGAAACGCCATCCCGCCCGCCCAATAGACATCACAGCAGTTTCTAGAGGTCCTTCGACTTCGTTCCAAGACAGGGTTGTTCGTGAAGATCGGAGTCGCCAGATCAAGAAACCTCTGAAGATTCCATCCTGGCATAGTTCCCGTGTCTGGACCAAAGGGTGACGTGCCACAGGGCCTGCCAGGAGGTGGGGCCTTGGTAAACCAGAGGTGCCAGAGATCGACTTTTGGACAAGGTTCCAGAGCAGACTGTCTTAAAGGAGGGACTCTTCGCCTGAAGCAGCTCCTCCCCGTCCAGTCCCACGACCTCAGCACCATACAATCGAAGGGACCTGGGGCCGCAGATGCGCGTCCTGCTCAAGGCCGTATCCCCAGTGATCCCCCGCACCCTCCTGAGCTTGTCTGGCGTCCTCCGCAGCTTCACAACCATGCCTTTCAACATTGGTCTAGTCCCAGCTCGTGCTTAGCGCTGCTCAGCGTAAAGATCTACTTCATTGCTTTGGGGGCCCGCGACCGTACACGACCCCGTGCTGCATCATGCATCCCTGGAGCTTCTTTAGCAGACCACCCAGACCAGCCACCGTCGCGCTCTTGTTGGTAGCGACTTCACTAGCTCTTCCTGGAATGCATGTTGGAAACCAGCAGCTCCTGAAACAAAATTCCCCACACGCCTGGCTTTTTCCTTGTGCGTGTCCGGCAACATCCAGTCGTCAATGAATAGGTCTATACACCTAGCCCAATCCTGGACAAGGCATTCGAGCATTTTCCGACAGGCTTGTAATAACAGATTTGCACCACGAAAGCCGCGAAATGACATGCAGTTGCCATGCCTTTCCGCGGGCGCTTCCGTGCCACTGCAACGCCACTCATACCGATGGAATTCTGCGCCTTGTATATGTTCAGAACCTTTGCTGGCGCTTTTGTGGGACATCCTGGTATTCTTGGCCCTCGTCCAAGTCAAATCGCGATTCTGATGCACAGAGTGGTTCCCTATGTGATAAATGGAACTGGCAGTTTCCATTGGTCATATTATGTGAAAGAGCGTGTTCTACCGCTGCTGGCGGAAAACCGGGGGGGGTCACTACCGGTTCGAACCCCTCCCCCCCCCCCTCCGGAAAACCGGGGGGGGTCACTACCGGTTCGAACCCCTCCCCCCCCCCCCCCCAGCTCATCATGAAAAGGGGGGGGGGTCACTACCGGTTCGAACCCCCCCCCCCCCCTCGAAAACCGAGTGGGGGTGCGGACAGTGGTGGGGACGGTGTTGGTGGGGACAGTGGTGAGGGGACAGCGGGACAGTGGTGGGGACAGTGGGACAGTGGTGGGGACGGTAGTGGTGGGGACAGTGGACAATGGTGGGAACAGGGGGGACAGTGGACAGTGGTGGGAACGGTGGTGGTGGGGACAGTGGTGTGGGGACAGTGGGAATGAGGTGGAAACACTGGGACAGTGGAGGGTACAATGGTGGTGGAGACACTGGTAAAGGCGGTGGCGAGGACGGCGGTGGGACAATGGGACAGAGGTACAGTGGGGACAGTGGTGGGGACAGTGGGGACAGTGGTGGAAACAGTGGGACAGCTCAGTGGGACAGCGGAGGAGTCAGTGGGACAGTGGGGACAATGGGGATAGGCAGTGGTTGGGTCCGTGGAGACAGTGGGGAGAGTGGAACCGTGGTGGGAACAGTTGTGGGAACAGTGGGGACAGTGCGACAGTGGTGGGGGCATTGGTGGGGACAATAGGGACGGTGGTGGAACCAGTGGGGACAGTGGTGGTGAGGACAGTGGTGCTGGGAACAACAGTGGGGGATGTGATGCGAGCGGTGGTAGGGACCGGGAGTCGTTTGCTGGCGGTGCGTGGGGGGGGGTCGAACCGGTAGTGACCCCCCTCCGGTTTTCGAGGGGGGGGGGGGGGGGGGGTTCCAACCGGTAGTGACCCCCCCGGTTTTCGGAAGGGGGGGGGGGGGGGGGGGAGGGGTTCGAACCGGCAGTGACCCCCCCCCGGTTTTCGAGGGGGGAGGGGTGGGGGGGGGGGGGGGGGGGGGGGGGTGGGGGGGGGGGGGGGGGGGGGGGGAGGGAGGGGGGGGGTGGGAGACCCCCCGGGTTCCGGAGGAAAAGGTTGGCAATTTTCCACAGTAAAGCGGCGGTGGATCACGCTCTCTCTATTATGTGAATCGAATGTTCTGAGATGCGTCCAGGGACGAGTACCAGCTCGAAGATAGATGTCTCCGTCTGGTGGTCGATACTCTCCATTGGACGATCTCGTTCCCGTATCCGAGTTGTACGCTGTCTAGTTGCCCGCCATACTCGATACATGGACGGTTCCATGTAACCCCCCCCTCCGAAAATCGAAAAGCGAAACGATGTTTGGGACCTTGATCTGTGGCAACCTTGGTGGTCATACCAGCATGCGTCGCCTGTATAATTGTTGCTATGTCCGTGGGTTTCTACGCACATCAGAAACCTTGCAAGGATGCTGAGGGTTCATCTCCAAGGAGTCCTTACTGCTCAGGATGCATCCCATCG